CGCAGGCACCCCTTTGTAGTGTGACTCTACTTTTGTAGTGTGAAAGCAGCCATAGGCAAAAATAAATGAATGGGCATGACTTGTTCCAATAAAACCATTTTACAAACAAGCAGCTAGATCTGGCCTGAGGTTCATAGACTGCCACCTTTGTAGGAGACAAGCAACATGTGATACACGTAATTAGCTACCACCCAACATGCACATCTGTATTGTGCATTTCATGTAATTTTGGAGGGAGGAAAGCTGAGTGACTAGCAGTAACGGAGAGAAGCAGTAATACAGTATTGTACATTGGCTGCTACATGTACCCTGATATGGGAAGAAGATTTTTTTTTAAGATTTTAAGATTTTTAAAATTTATTAATGAGAAACACACACACACAGGGATCCCTGGGTGGCGCAGCGGTTTGGCGCCTGCCTTTGGCCCAGGGCGTGATCCTGGAGACCCGGGATCGAATCCCACATCAGGCTCCCGGTGCATGGAGCCTGCTTCTCCCTCTGCCTGTGTCTCTGCCTCTTCTCTCTCTCTCTGTGACTATCATAAATAAATAAAAAAAATTAAAAAAAAAAGAAAAAAACACACACACAGAGACAGAGAGACAGAGACAGGGAGAGAGAGAGAGAGAGACAGAGTGAGAGAGACAGAGACACAGGCTCCATGCAGGGAGCCTGATGCAGGACTCCATTGATCCCCGGTCTCCAGGATCACACCCTGGGCTGAAGGTGGCACTAAATCGCTGAGCCACCCGGGCTGCCCCTGAAGAAGGATGTCTTAATCGCTATTTGTTTTTCAAAGATAAACTTATAACTCTGTGCCTGATTTTCTTTACATAACCTGCTGAGAGGAATAAAGTTAGGTGCACTGCTTTCTGTAGAGAAGTACCATGTATCTTTGAGGGTTTCTCATTCTTAAACTTTCTTGGGAAGAATGCTGAGTTATCAACAATTATATTTCACTTGAGAAACAATCATCTTTTTGATCCATTGTGAATAATGCTCGATTACCCAGGATCAGGACCTGAGCCAAAGGCAGATGCTCAACCACTGAACCACTCAGGTGCCCCTGGTTATTACTTTTTAATTGTGTGTTGAGGTTAGAGGTGTCTCACCATATATTTTAATATTTAGTGCTTCAAAAGATCTTCTTATATCTAGCACTGGCTGTATATTCTGTGTTGTCCTCTTGGGAAGGAGACCCGAGTTACTAGCAAGGGTCTCTCACTTAGATTTTATATATGTATATATTATATATATTTTGTATATAATATATGTTATATAATGTATATATATAATATATAAATGGTGTGTTCATATTATTTGTTTTGGTGAAAAACAAAAATGCCTGAATTTTCAGTAATTATATCACACAGAGAAGGGAAATTCATCTCTGTGGACTCTATGTTTCCTGTAACCTGGTTGGATTGAAAAGCTGAATTACTAGTAGATTTATCTTTCCTAGAGACAAAAATTTTAAGTGTGTAAACCATACTTTTTCATATATTCTCCTTGAAGAAGTAAGTCAGTTGGGAAAGCATTTGGCTGCATTAAAAAAAAAACAAAAACAAAAACAAAAAAACACAACCAACTAGGGCAGATAGGCCAAAAGGTGTCCAGGAGAGGCAGTCTGTGGCTGGTGTAGTAACTAAAAACCATGCCCTTCTTTTTCTTCAGTCATGCCATTCTTACAATGTGATTGGCATTTTCATGCTTGCACCTCATGGTTACAAGTTGACTGATGCATCATTAGCCTCAAAACTGTGTTCCAAGGAGGGAAAAGTGAAAAGAACAAAAAACATTTCCCAACTGAGTTCATTCTTTTTTTTTAAATATATTTTTTTTAATTTTTATTTATTTATGATAGGCACACAGTGTGAGAGAGAGAGAGGCAGAGACACAGGCAGAGGGAGAAGCAGGCTCCATGCACCGGGAGCCCGACGTGGGATTCGATCCCGGGTCTCCAGGATCGCGCCCTGGGCCAAAGGCAGGCGCCAAACCACTGCGCCACCCAGAGATCCCTTTTTTTAAAAAAAAAATATATATATATTTTTAATTTTTATTTATTTATGATAGGCACACAGTGAGAGAGAGAGAGAGAGAGAGAGAGAGAGAGAGAGAGGCAGAGACACAGGAGTTCATTCTTTTTAATTAGGAAAACGGTGTTCTGAAAGCTCCACCCATAAGCACTGTATATTTATCTCTTAGTCCAGAACTGTGTCATATGGCTAGCTGCAGCTAAGAAAAAACTTGAGAAATCTGGGCACAGTGCTACCCTGAATAAAGATTTGGGTTGGTTGGTAAGGAAAATGATAATGGATACTTTATGGGCAACATGTATTGTTCACCATGATGTCCTTTCTAAAATGGTGATTGTTGGATCTAAAATCAGTGTATATAGTTCTGGTCTCTTTAGGTATGGTGTAATGGAAAAGGAGAAGATGTTGACAAGGACAATTTAAATCATGGAAAAGGAAGGGAAATGGGCTGCTGTAACCTGCAAAGGGCACTAGGTTTGGAGGTTGAAATTCTAGCCTTCTGATCTGATTCTTTTATTTTTAATAAAATATTTTATTTATTTATTCATGAGAGACACACACAGACAGGTAGAGACATAGGCAGAGAGAAGCAGGCTCCATGCAGGGAGCCCAACGTGGGGCTGGATCCCAGGACTCCAGGATCATGCCCTGGGCTAAAGGCAGATGCTCAATTGGTGAGCCACTCAGGTGTCTCCTGATCTGATTCTTTAACTTACAATCTGTGTGATATTGGTTGCATCAGCCTCTCTTAGCCTTTTTTCCCTGATGGTAAATTTGGAACAGAGTGTTAGAAAGAAAGGGAAAAATAGATACTGGGTGAGGAATTTTAAATAGTATTGGTGGTTGTATCTTGCATAGAAAAACAAGACATCTTTATGGCATATTCTTCATGTAATCTCTTTTTGAAGGGTGGTTAAATATGATTTACCAGGGGTTTCTATTTTCCAATGGGAAGTAACATTCACCTATTTAGAGTGTGTGCCTTGAGTAATATGGGGAAAGAAAGATGATTTTCCAGGTTTTTTTCCCAGTAGTTTTCCCTCTCCTGTAAGAAATATACATCTACATGGAGGAACTACTTCATGTAACATGTTGGAACATAAACTATAACCAGGTATCCTATCTCCTATGAGTCTAGTGATATTGAATATGAAACTCTTTGTCTTATGTTGTTGGTGTTCTTCAAAAATTTCATAGTTTTTTTGGTCTATTTATGTTTAGGGATGAAACTCTAGATAGATCAGGATCAGTATTCAAAGTGCCTTTCTCAGCTCAAGAAAGAATTCTGATTCTGGTGGTTTGGTCAGTCATTTATGAAGTATGTATTGAGTGCCTACTTTTTTAAAAAAGATTTTATTTATTCATGAGAGAGAGAGAGAGAGGCAGAGACACAGGCAGAGGGAGAAGCAGGCTCCATGCAGGGAGCCTGGTGTGGGACTCAATACCGGGACTCCGGGATCATGCCCTGGGCCAAAGGCAGACACTCAACCACTGAGCCATCCAGGTGTCCCATGGGTGCCTACTTCATGTCAGCTACTGTTCTGGATGTGGTTAGACAGTGTGAGTAAGAGAGAGAAGGTCCCTACCTTCATAAAGCTTATATTCTACTGAAGGAAACAGCAGATGTAGACTGAGGTGAGTAGATGGGAATATACCAACTAGATGGTCCTTCCTTTTGGATGTTCACAGACTTGAATTTATGACATTCACAATTTTCAATTTCTCAAAAATGCGAAGAGCCTGAACTTTACTTTTGTATTTTGATTAGTGGATTGGACAAATATTTACTGAGTATCTTCTCTGCCAGACACAGCTTAACACTGGGATATAATAATAACATGATATAATAATAGCTGCAGGTACTTGCATAGAGATGAACTGCATCCTTCATAGTTGCCCTTAGGTGGAATATGACCCATGTATATCTCCCTAATAATGAGCAAAAGTGGACAAGTGTGTGTATTTCAAGCCAGAATTACTCATACCAGTGAGTCTGGAGTGTAAACATTTTTTTTTAATTTTTATTTATTTATGATAGTCACAGAGAGAGAAAGAGAGAGAGGCAGAGACACAGGCAGAGGGAGAAGCAGGCTCCATGCACCGGGAGCCCGATGTGGGATTCGATCCAGGGTCTCCAGGATCGCGCTCTGGGCCAAAGGCAGGCGCCAAACCGCTGCGCCACCCAGGGATCCCTGGAGTGTAAACATTAATGAAGGTCAAGGATAGATTGGCATTGGGTCTTGGAAGAACCAGTATGACCTGAATGGCCAGGGTGTGGGGCAGTAGGTAGAAAGGAGGGAGAATATTCCAGAGGGGCAAGTCCTGGAAAAAAAAAAAAAAAAAAAAAAGATCCGGGGTCAGGAAGGGTCAAGAGATTTCAGGGGACCAATGGGGGAATTCACTTACGATACAGGAGAAAATGTGCATGCGAACAGAGTTAAGAGAGATTGCTGGGTGATGATGTCAGCATGTGGGGGCCTAGAACAGGAATTTGTCCATTATTCTTAGTAAATAGTGGATCATTCAAGATTCGTACTCAGGGTCTCCCTCTGCCTGTGTCTCTGCCTCTCTCTTTCTCTCTCTGCGTTTCTCGTGAATAAATGAATAAAATATTAAAAAAAAAAAAAAAGATTTTTACTCCGGGGCTATTTTTAGCAGGTGGACTACGCTAGGTGCCTCGCAGCGGCAGCCTCTTCCGAGTCCTACCCAGCACGCTCTCCAACACTAACGCCCCCCATCTACAGCTTTCCTGGGGGATGAAGCGGTCACCGTGCTCCGGGAAAAGGTGGTCTCTAATGGGACGTCATGCACTTGGCTGAGTTTAGAGAGAAACCAGGCCGGGATCGCCTTCTTCGGGGACCCCGGGAGCGAGACTCAGGCAGCGGAAGGCCTCGCGAGACGAGGCGCGCGGAGCCGCTGGTGACGCACTACCGGCCGCGCCACTGCTCTTCCGGCCTGGGGGCGGGGCGGTGAGCCGGTGTCCTGGGCCTGCGCGCACCTGTGGGACCGTAGTCGCCACCCCGCGGGGAGCCCCTGGACCTCACGGTGAGCGGGCGGGGCCTCGGGGAGGGGAGAGGAGTGGCTCCGGGCGCCTTCGCCTGGGGCCGCGGGCCGGAGGCTTTTGGAGGCAGCCTGCCCCCGGCCTCGTGCGGCCCCGAACTCCCAGCGGCCTCGGCACAGCGTCCGGCGCGGAGCAGGCGGCTGAGAGGACCGTGCGAATTCGCACGAGCGAATGAGCGATGACTGACTGATGGCTAGATGCATGGATGATCTAGAGCTAGGGCTCACGTTCGGAAACGAAGCCCCAGGGCTCAGAGTTCTCGGTCTGAATACCATCTCTCCCCCGTCCTCCCACCCCCTCCCCATTAATCCTGCCTGCAGCTCAGAGACCTTTTTTTTTTTTTTAGGGACCGTCATAGTAGGAACCGGCAGTAGTGTGAAGGTGGCGAGTCTCGAGTCTCTGAGTTGCAATTCCTGAGGATACAGAGGCTGTTTTCTCATCTCTAAAGTTGGACTGTCTACCGTGTCTAGTAGTCCTTGTCTTCCTTGCTTTGCAAGGCTCAGTTGACAGCATGTATGTGATAGCACGCACGGACACGTTCATGTCTTGCAACAAAATTTTACTGTGCGTTACTTGCCTAGTTGGACACAGAACCCAGGGACGGGGCTACAGAGTGAGAGACCTTGGACCTGGAACATGCTTACAGTCTAGTTAGTGCTGGGAGATATACATGTGAACAGGTTTTTGTGATTATCTAAAACATACTTAGTGCTAAGTAGGACTGTTCGAAGCAGCTGTGCTGATTGAACCTTCAGAACAACCCATTATCTGTAGTTTTTTTTTTTTTTAAGGTTTCATTTATTTATTCATAAGAGACACAAAGACAGGCAGAGGGAGAAGCAGGCACCCTGCAGGGAACCCGATGCGGGACTTGATTCTGGGACCTCAGGGTCATGCCCTGGGCTGAAGGCAGACGCTCAACCACTGAGCCACCCAGGCATCCCTTATGTGTAGTTTTTTTAATGAGGATATTGAGGTACGGAGAGAATAGGAGACGATGGAAGGACATATTGCTACTTAGTGACCCAAGGCTGCAGAAGAGAGAGATCCAGAATGCTGCTACAGCCTAGATGAGTATGTTACTTGTGGCCAACTGACAAACCCAAGAAGGGCTTCAGGGAGGAGTACATTTTGAGTGTGGTCTTATTGAAGGAATTGTTTCAAATTCTCAAAAAATCCCACCTGGCTTGCCCATAATCCTTTAGCTAATTATTGAGAGGTAAAGAGGTGGCAGGGAGGAAAAGCTTACAAAGTAAGGGGAGAGAGAGCCAGCTCCTTGTTACTTTGAACGGGATTAAGCTATTAAAAGCTCTCCTGGGACGCCTGGGTGGCCCAGGGTGTAATCCTGAAGTCCCCCGATCAAGTCCCATATCGGGCTCCCTGCCTGAAGCCTGCTTCTCCCTCTGCCTGTGTCTCTGCCTCTCTCTGTGTGTGTCTCTCATGAATAAATAAAATCTTTTTAAAAAAATTAAAAAATAAAAGCTTTCCTTTTTTTCCTTTTACCCTTCACCATAATACCCATCTCGCCCCTAACGTGGATTCTGACAGATCCTTTTATCTTCTTAAAATCACTGACAAAATCAGATTATTCTATACTAGGCATTGGTGGAAAAACCTGTACCTTCCTCTCCGGGAAATTTATAGACTAGGGGGTCAGTAAACTATGGCCTCTAGGCAAAATGTCTATCACCTGTTTTTGTTTAAAAAAAAAAAAAAAAAAGAAAAAAGTCTTACTGAAACGCAGCCAAGCTCATTTATATATTTTTATTTTTATTTATTTTTAAAGATTTTATTTATTCATGAGAGACACACACAGAGAGGCAGAGACACAGGCAGATGGAGAATCAGGTTCCTTGTAGGGAGCCCAATGTGGGACTCGATCCCCCAACTGGGATCACGCCCTGAGCTGAAGACAGACGCTCAAGCACTGAGCAATCCAGGAATCCCCCCCCCTTTTTTTTTTTTTTTACATATTATGTGTGTAGTTGTTTTCAAACTACAAAGTTGAATAGTTGTGACAGAGACCATATTGCCCCTGAAGCCTTAATTATTTATTTTCTAACCCATTACAGGAAAATTTGCAGTTTGACATAAATTGCTGACAGCTCAGATGATCCACAGTTGGAGGAGAGGGTTGTCAGCAAGATGTCTTTTCTTCTCCATAGATTTTAGTATCAAACATAATAATGCCTGACCCCTGTGGAATACTTGCCATGTGGCAGATGTCTTTATAAATGCTTTACGTGAATTAACTCGTTTGGTTAAGGATTCACAGAATGTTAAAACTGAAAGGACTCATAGATACTATCTTTTCGCCCCCATGGATATTATCTAATTTGTCAGCTTTTACAGGTAAGTAGCCTGTCATGTAGGCCCATCACATGGGCTGTGACAGAACAATTTCCTGATTTCCATTTCAATCCACTTTAATCTTACTCTGAATGAGAGGCCAATACCTTATTCACTGGATCTGGCATTTTGTTAGTTGTTACTCCTTTTGTTTCTGTTTTTTTTTTTTTTTTTTGATCATTGAAACCTGTGAGCAGGAACTACAGTTCAGTCATTTTTTTACATAATTATTTCTCTAACTTTAATACATATTTATTGTAGGGAAAGTGAAATATATAGAAGAGTATAAAGGACAAATGAAAGTAACCCATTAAATGACCTAAGGATCAGTGTGTTGACATTTTGGTGGATTTCTTCTGTCCTTTGTGCTTTTTTTTTTTTGTGTGTGTGTGTGTGTGTGTTTTGTATATGTCTGTGTATTAATAATAGTTCTTATTGAATGTTTACTTAGTACTGGTACATGTATGCATATTTTTATTTTACCATTTTGTATTCTCCAGTTTTAACATATTTTCTCATGGATATTCTTTGAAAACATGACGTTTTTAAAAGATTTTACTTATTTATTCATGAGAGACACAGAGAGAGAGGTAGAGACATAGCCATAGGGAGAAGTAGGCTTCCTGCAGGGAGCCTGATGTGGGACTCCATCCCAGGACCCCGGGATCATGACTTGAGCCCAAGGCAGATGCTCAACCACTGAGCCACCCAGGCATCCCAACATGAATTTTTTTTTAAGGGTAAGGAACTCCAAATCCTGAGAAGGAAAAAGTGTAATTCTTTCATAAAAAGGATGTCTAAAGAAGCAAATTCTCCCCTAAAACTACCTCTTGTATTAAGGGTGTGAAAGACTCAATTAAGGACATTCATTCTGTTACCTTTTTTTTTTTTTTTTAAGATTTTTTTATTTTATTTATTCATAGAGACACAGAAAGAGAGAGGCAGAGACACAGGCAGAGGGAGAATCAGGCTCCATGCAGGGAGCCTGATGTGGGACTCTATCCCAGGTCTCCAGGATCACGCCCTGGGCTGCAGGCAGCACTAAACTGCAGCGCCACCAGGGCTGCCCTCATTCTGTTACCTTAAGCTGCGAGGCTGAGGGTTAGTTTTTCAACTCACCAAAATAATCTTTTTAAGGTTTGTTCTTCCAGAACAGAGCTCTTATATTTAACAACCGTTACATCTACCTGTCACGACAAATTGTTCGAATTAGTCAGTGAAGTCCAGGTTCTTGAGACCTGTTAATATGTACGTGAGCTATTACTGTAGCAGAGTTAAAAGGTGTGCCTTTGGGAATCTTAGGTTGATACTATCAGTTTCACTTGTGAGCTAAGACAGGATCCCTGAGAATTATGTGCTGCATTTCTCTGCAGATTAATTCACTAGAAGGTTCTCCAGTGCTCATACACAAAATTTTATGAAGTTGTAAGATTCGTCTTCTTTGCCCCAGTCTCACCCTATTCCAGAGTAGTAATCATTGAGAAATAATCTTCCTCTGTAGTCATTGAGAACCAAACATTGTGATAGCATTGGGCATTTTTTTTTAAGATTTTATTTATTCATGAGAGATACACAGAGAGAGGCAGAGGGAGAAGCAGGCTCCCTGCAGAGAGCCCAATGTGGGACTTGATCTTGGGGCTCCAGAATCACGCCCTGAGCTGAAGGCAGACACTCAACCACTGAGCCACCCAGGTGCCCAGCTTTGGGCATTTTGTAGTGAACAAGACAGACAAGCCTCTTGACTTCATGACACCTAGACCAGCAGGGTGAATCTTAACCAGAATTTATATCAAAATCAAGCAGGAAGATCCATTGGGTGGCTCAGCGGTTTAGAGCCTCCCTTTGGCCCAGGCCATGATCCTGGAGTCCCGGCATTGAGTCCCACCTCAGGCTCCCTGCATGGAGCCTGCTTTTCCCTCTGCCTGTGTCTCTACCTTTCTCTCTCTGTGTCTCTTGTGAATAAATAAATAAAATATTAAAAAAAATAATCAAGCAGGCATTAAGTAATTTTTCCAAAATCAAATTTATGTAACTTTAATTTGTACCTTTTTAAAAAGCTTTTAATTTTAATTCTGGTATAGTTAACATAGTGTTATATTAGTTTCAGGTGCACAGTGTAATGATTCAACAATTCTCTACATTACCCAGTGATTACCACAAGTGTAGTCTTTAATCTCCATCACCTATTTCACCCATTTCCCAACCCCCCAGTAACCATCAGTTTGTTCTCTGTAGTTAAGAGTCTGTTTCTTGATTTATCTCTCTTTTTTTCTTTGCTTGTTTTGTTTCTTAAATTCCACATATGAGTGAAATAATATGGTATTTATCTTTCTTTGGCTTATTTCACTTAACATTATACTCACTAGCTCCATCCATGTTTTTTCAAATGGCAAGATTTCATTCTTTTTTATGGCTGAATAATATTTCATTGTGTATTTACACCACATCTACTTTATCCATTCATCTACTTACTGATGGACACAGGCTGTTTCCATAATTTTGGAATTTTGGTTATTGTAATGCTGCAATAAACATAGGGGTGCATGTATCCCTTTGGATTAGTGTATTTGAATTTTGGGGGTAAATACCCAGTAATGTGATTATCAGATGGTAGGGTAGTTCTATTTTCAATTTTTTGAGGAAACTCCACACTATTTTCTAAGTGACTATACCAGTTTGCATTCCTACCAACGGTGCTCAAGTGTTCCTTTTTCTCCACATCATCTTCAACAGTTGTTGTCTCTTATGTTTTTTATTTTGTATTATCCTGTTTTAACATACTGCATTTTCTAATGAATATTCTTTTTTCTAATGGATATTCTTTGAAAAAATGATTTTTAACAGTTACAAAATCTATCATATTAATATGCCATCAGTGTTTATTTGCTCGTTTTATAATTATAGTAACAGTAATTATAGTAATTATAGTATGTGATCTTTGTACATAAATTTCTGTGCCCATCTCTGATTGTATTTTTTCACTTTTTTTTTTTTCTCGGATTATAGAAGCTGTTTATTCCTGAAGGAAAACTTTGAAATGTTACACAAAGATACACAAAAGACCTTTTGTTACACAAAGGTCTTTTTTTTTTTTTTTTAAGATTTTATTTATTTATTCATGAGAGACACACAGAGAGGCGGAAAAACAGGCTCCATGCAGGAAGCCTGACAGGGGACTCGATCCCAGGTCTCTAGGACCACACCCCAGGCCGAAGGTGGCACTAAACCTTTGAGCCACCCAGGCTGCCCAAAGATAGGTCTTAACACAAAAGTTTACCATAATCCTGTCCTTTAGAGATGCTTATGGTTAACAATTTGATACATATTCTTAGGGATTAGAGTCTTTTTAAAAGAAAGCATATTTTAGCATACATATACAGTGTTCTGATGTACTTGAAATTTTAATATCCTGCATTTTTTTATTTATATAGAGCATAAGTATTTTTCCACATGATCACATATTTTGAAGGATTTTTATTATAGAAAGAGAGGGCACGAGCAGGGGGAGGGGCAGAATGAGAGGGAGAAGCAGACTCCTCACTGGACAGGGAGCCCTATGTAGGGCTCAATTCCAGGACCCTGAGGTCATGACCTGGGCTGAAGACAGACACTTAACTGATTGAGCCATAAGTGCCCCTCATGTTTTCTTAATTATCTTAATGTCTATATAATTTCCACCAAGTGGAAGTACTATAATTTGCTAAGCCGCAGTGTCCATTCATAGAAAGATTGTGTTTTCCAACAACATTGCAGGGTATTTTTAATTTTTTTTACAGGTAATAAAAGAATTCAGCTTTTTTCTTCTTTGGGAAGTTACTTCTTTTTTTTCTTTTTTCTTTTATTTTTTTAAGATTTTATTTATTCATGAGAGACAGAGAGAGAGAGAGAGAGAGAGAGAGAGAGGGGCAGAGACCCAGGCAGAGGAAGAAGCAGGCTCCATGAAGGGAGTCCAATGTGGTACTTGATCCCAGGTCTCTAGGATCACATCCTTGGCTGAAGGCAGCACTAAACCACTGAGCCACTGGGGCTGCCCTATATTTTCTTTTATTTTAAAATATTTTATTTATTTATTCATTAGAGACACACAGGGAGAGAGAGGCAGAGACATAGGCAGAGGGAGAATCTGGCTCCATGCAGGGAGCCTGATGTGGGACTCAGTTTTGGAACCCTGGGATCACACCCTGAGCTGAAGGCAGACACTCAGCCACTGAGCCACCCAGGTGTCCTTTTTCTTCTTCTTCTTCTTTTTTTTTTTTAATTTTATTTATTTGTTCATGAGAGACACAGAGAGAGAGACAGAGACAGAGAGGCAGAGACATAGGCAGAGGGAGAAGCAGGCTGAGAGAGAGAGAGAGGCAGAGACATAGGCAGAGGGAGAAGCAGGCTCCATGCAGGGAGCCCGACTTGGAACTCCATCCCAGATCTCCAGGATCAGGCCCTGGGCTGAAGGCGGCACTAAACCGCTGAGCTACCCGGGCTTCCCCCCCCCCCCCCGACTTTTTTAAAAAATAGGCTCCATACCCAGCACGGAGCCCAACTTGGGGCTTGAACTGAATAACCCTGAATTCAAGACCTGAGCTGAGATCAAAAGTTGGATGGTTAACCATCTGAGCCACCCAGGTGCTCTGGGAAGTTACTTATTTATGAGAAAGTTCTTCTTCTTCTTCTTTTTTTTTTTTTAAAGATATTATTTCTCCATGAGAGACAAGCAGAGAGAGAAGTAGGCTCCCTGTAGGGAGCCCAATGTGGGACTCGATCCCGGGACACCAGGATCACGCCCTGGGCTGAAGGTAGGTGCTAAACCGCTGAGCCACCCAGGGATCCCTGAGAAAGTTCTAATAGTAGAATTATAGGTCAAAGAATATAGGTATTTTATAGACATACTAATAACTTTGAGAGTCTTTTGAGACACATTGTAGGTATTGTATATACTTAGTATAATTTTCTGATTTCCTATACTCAAAAAAAGGATGATCCCAGTATTCCAAGTGCAATTCATCCTACAACTTTAAGACCTGATTGATATATATTGCCAAATTATTTCTAGAAGGATGGTACCATCTTATATTCCCACTGCTGGTGTATGAGAAGCTCTTTTCCCCCATACCTTTGCCAGTCTTGATTTGTGGCACTTTAAAGAAAATTTCCAGTTTAATATAAAAATAGATTCTTTATTGTTTTGTTTCCATTTTTTTATTACTACCAAGATGGAACTTTGTTTTGATATGGTTATTGGCCTTTTGTAATTCTTGCTCTATATGTTGTATACTTCTCATTTTTTATGAGTTCATCTTTTTTCCTTAATTATTAATAAGTCTTTTATTCATTAGGTCCATCTACTTACTCTTTGATGTGTAAATCAGAAATACTTTTTTTAGATTGATTATCATTTTATTTTATTTGTATTTTGGATATAGAATAGAGATTGTTGCTCTTCTGTGACCAGATTTATCCAGCTTTGTCCTTTTTGGTTTGTGTTGGGTATTTATTTATTTATTTATTTATTTATTTATTTATTTATTTTTGCATAATGCTTAGAAAAGTCTACCCTAACCCTTAAGTCAATTATTTCTTAATATTTTATTTTGTGGTTTCATTTTTTTATATTTAACCCTTTAACCAGATTAGATTTATTTTGGTATATGGTATAGGTAGGAATCTCAGTAAGTGTTTTTTCCAGGTAATTAAGCAACAGTTTCAACATAATTTATAAGTAATTTTTTATGACTAGAGATGCCAATTTTATCGTATATTAAAATCTTTTAGGGCAGCCTGGGTGGCTCAGCGGTTTAGTGCTGCCTTCAGCCCAGGGTGTGATCCTGGAGACCCAGGATTGAATCGGAGTTGGGCTTCCTGCATGGAGCCTCCTTCTTCCTCTGCCTGTGTCTCTGCCTCTCTCTCTTTCTGTTTCTCATTAATAAATAAATAAAATATTTTTTTTAATAAATAAAATCTTTAAACAAGCAAACAAAAATCTTTTATTTCTTTCTTTCAGGGCATTAGGAATCTCTAAAATCAAAAGTCAGGGGATTCCTGGGTGGCTCAGTGGTTTAGAGCCTGCCTTTGGCCCAGGGCGTGATCCTGGAGTCCTGGGATCAAGTCCCACGTCGGGCTACCTGCATGGAGCCTGCTTCTCCCTCTGCCTGTGCCAGCTACGTGCAGGGAGCTGGATGTGGGACTCCATCTTGGGACTCCAGGATCATGTCCTGGGCTGAAGGCAGACACTCAACCGCTGAGCCACCCAGGCATCCCTCTATTTGGATATTTAAAAACTGAATGTATCTTTATCCCCAAAGCAATGTTCCCATTCTCTAAAGGTGGCTGTCATCACTCAAGCTCCAAACCAGAAAATAATCTTGACTTCTCCCTCTCCCTCACACCATATTCATCCAGTCTCTTAGTTGATCCAGTCTCCCTAGAAGGCTGCTGAACAACCTCCCAAAGGGTCTTCCAGTCTTCACCTTACCTCTACACCTTCCACCATTCAAACACAGTTTCCTTCTTTGCTATTGCGCAGAGGAATGTGTTCCTTTTTTAAAAAAAAAAAAAAATATTTATTCATGAGAGACACAGAGAGAAAGAGGCAGAGACACAGGCAGAGGGAGAAGCAGGCTCCATGCAGGCAGCCCGATGTGGGACTCGATCCCAGGACTCCAGGATCATGCCCTGGGCTGAAGGCAGGTGCCCAACTGCTGAGCCACCCAGGGACCCTGTGTTTGTTGTTGTTGTTGTTGTTGTTGTTGTTTTTTAAACAGCAGATAGATATACTCATGTCACTTTTTCCCCAAAAAACATTTTCATATTTCTTTTGTGGATTTCTACTCACTTTAAGGTAAATTCCTTAAAATGGTCCTCAGGGTTGTATTTGATCTGGCTTTTGCTTGTCTCAGGCTTCATGTCTTACTTTTGGTGCTTAATACTTTGTCTTACTAGATCTCCTTCACTGAGCTTGATTCCTTTTGTATATTCTGTTTCATATCTCTGGTATATTCTTTTCTTTCTTCAGCTGTTTCATTCCTATTTCTCTCTTTTTCAGGGAGGCTTTTTTCTCAAACTACATTAGGTCCCCTCTGCTCTACATTACCACATCCCATATTTCCACTTTTGTAATTCCTGTAATTGTAACTACACTTTAATGTCTCTGTCCAGCTGTAATCTAAGTTCTAGTCAAGTGGGGGCATGTTTGACTGTTTATCTATAGTCTAACTCCAAGTCCACTGTAACCCCACTCTACTTCATGGTTCTCCATAGGATTGTGTAGTAGCTTCTTTCTGTGCCCCTCTTATAGAAGAGGATCAGGAAATCCCAGATAGGATCCTCTTTTTTTTTAGATAGGGGAGGAGCAGAGGGAGAGGGACAAAGAATTCTAAGCAGGCTCCACACTGGACTTGCTGTAGGGCTCGATCTCACAACCCTGAGATCATGACCTGAGCTGAAATCAAGAGTCAGATGCTTAACTGACTGAGCCTCCCAGGTGCACCCCCCCACCGGAGATAGGATCCTCTTATACCTTTAAAATTCAGCACAGAAGTGCAGATGTTGATGGGAAGTCCATAGTACCAGCATTATTATGTATTTCAGCAGACCCAGACCATTCTTAACATGCCTTCTTAGCTCTTGATTATAGGTAAAATCATCTGTCTGTCTTCTTTTTTCCTTGAAATAATGCTGCTGATTCTACCTCCCACTTTAGGCTTATATGGGGAGACATTTTTGGATGAACAGTTGCAATTTAACATATCAAGCACCAGAAACTCTTTGTACCATTTTTTGTAACTTTCTTGTAAGTAAAAAATTATTTTGCAATTTGTTTTTTATTGTTGCTTTTTTAAAAGTAAGCTCCACACCCAGTATGGACCCCAAAATGGGGGGGGGGGGCTTGAACTCATGACCTGAGATCAAACCTGAGCTGAGATCAACAATTGGATGCTTAACCAACCGAGCCATGCAGGTGCCCCCTTTTTTTTCTTTTTTAAACTGCAGCCTATAATCTTAATATTGAGCTGTGCCTGAAGAAAAACTGTTCAGTTGATCTGACATCTAGAAGAAAGGGCAAGCAGTGTATCTCTAAGTTGTACAAATAGAGCTCCCTAACTCCTGTCCAGCTCCTTGGCATATAGTGGAGATGGGTATATCAGATTTAATGTATTAGCCTTGCTATAAGGTCATTTCCCTATGCAACTTTTTTTTTTTTTTTTTAAGATTTCATGTATTTGAAAGAGAGTGCACCTGCGTGAGCAGGGGAGGAGCAGAGGGACAGGGACAAGCAGGTTCTGCACTGAGCATGGAGCCCAATGTGGGGCTCAATCCCAGGACCCCGAGATCATGACCTGAACTGAAACCAAGATGCTTAACCAACTGAGCCACCCTGGCATCCCTTCCTATCCCTTCCTATGCTACTTTTGATTCTATTAATTGGCCTTCATATAGATTGTTATATAAAGGCATGAATACTTCTGTCTACTTCATAGATATCTTTATTATTATAAATAATATTCTGATTTATCCACCAAGCGCTTTAGGATTTGCTAATGTATCGGTCTGGCTGTCACTTTTTACACAGCTGGCAAATGGAATTTGTGAAGCTACAAGGCTGGTAGCCAACCATGATTTTTGCTGATGCGGTCACATTGCTATCTAAATAGATTTTGTGTGAATTATTTGACAGTATCCCTGGGCAACAGTTCTTTGTCATTTTCCTGTTTCCTGGGACAGTGATATCCCCTTCCCCACCTTTTTTTCCCTCCTATGAGCAGGGCTCCCAGTTTTCCAACTCTGAAGTGTTTTTCAATCAAAACAGAAGATTTGTGGATGTTGAATATGCAAGGAGCTGAAGAGAGAGAGCTTGGAAGAAAGGTTTGTCCAGGTGAGTAGCAAGGAAAAACCAGTGGGAGAAACAGCAGCGCTTTGGAAGTTTACAAGAGAAACTGATTAAAGCTCAAGAAATAAAATTACCCTTTCTTTTAGGGATGTTGGGGACAGATGGTGGTGAGCATCTCTCGGGGCTAACTTTTTCCCAGTACTCATTTTGTCTCATTTCTAGCATTTGCTTTTACATTCTCCCACTGTCCGTTCTGAGTAGAAACCATCTATGTTTCCTCTCTTGACCTAATCTCAGCTTGCTATTGTTTGTCATTGTCCTTTTATTTCTACCATCTCTGGTCCCTGGCTTCCTAAGTTTCTGTAGGTGCCCATTAAATGGGATACCTTATGAATGGTGATCCCCTTACCCTCCTATAGGTCTTTTCCATGACTTGTAATTGAATGACTTTGCTCCACGTGATTTTATTGGCCCTTATTTAATTTTTTTAATTTTTTATTTATGATAGTCACACAGAATGAGAGAAAGAGGCAGAGACATAGGCAGAGGGAGAAGCAGGCTCGATGCACCGGGAGCCTGACGTGGGATTCGATCCTGGATCTCCAGGATCGCGCCCTGGGCCAAAGGCAGGCGCTAAACCGCTGCGCCACCCAGGGATCCCTATTGGCCCTTATTTATATGTCATTACTGAGACATGTCAGAATTAGGCCCCTATAACCTCACAGGCTTCCACTCTGTCCTGCACAAGAGATACTCACTCTGATGTTTTCTTTCAGATTTGATGAACAAGTCTGTTCCAGAGCAGGATGCCTTTGAAATTGATTCACCAAGGATAGGAGCAAAGAGATTACAAGAGGATGCATACCAGGATTCTATATTTGAAGAAAAACATGCATGTGGGAGCATGAAGGAAAACTCTTCTGGAGAGGTTCCTGGACCATGCCTTTTTCAAGAAGGAGGTTTTGGGGAAATAACTTTTATCCACAAGGAAGCATCTCCTGAAACAATTAGCCAAGAATATAATTTTGAGAGAAGCTTGCTTTTGACCTCTAGCTTTGTTACACATCTCAGGGTTTCTACAGAAGAGAGCCTACATCAGTGGGAGACAAGTAGCATAACTAATGAGATTTCAGACCAAAGTAAATATCCAACTCTCTCTACACAGAAAAAGTCTTGGGAATGTAACGAATGTGGAAAAACTTTTACTCAGAGCTCATCCCTTATCCAACACCAGAGGACTCATACTGGAGAGAGACCCTATGCATGTGAGGAATGTGGGAAAGCCTTTAGTCGTAGTTCCTTCCTTGTTCAGCATCAAAGAATTCACACTGGAGTAAAACCATATGGATGTGAGCAATGTGGGAAAACCTTTCGATGTCGATCATTTCTTACTCAGCATCAGAGGATACATACTGGAGAGAAACCTTATAAATGTAATGAATGTGGGAATTCCTTCCGCAATCATTCACATCTCACTGAACATCAGAGAATTCACACTGGAGAGAAACCTTATAAATGTAATAGATGTGGGAAGGCATTCAATCAGAACACACACCTCATTCATCATCAGAGGATTCACACTGGTGAGAAACCTTATTTATGCAATGAATGTGGCTCTTCTTTCCGCAAACACTCAAATCTTACACAACATCAGAGAATTCACACTGGGGAAAAGCCTCATAAATGTGATCAGTGTGGGAAAACTTTCCAAACAAAGGCAAACCTTTCTCAGCATCAGAGAATTCATACTGGAGAGAAACCCTATAAATGTAAGGAATGTGGCAAAGCCTTTTGTCAGAGCCCATCCCTTATTAAACACCAACGAATTCACACTGGAGAAAAACCCTATAAATGTAAGGAATGTGGCAAAGCTTTTACTCAAAGCACCCCACTCACTAAGCATCAGAGAATTCATACAGGGGAGAGACCCTACAAATGCAGTGAATGTGGTAAAGCCTTCATTCAGAGCATTTGCCTCATTCGGCATCAGAGAAGTCACACTGGAGAAAAACCCTATAAATGCAATGAATGTGGGAAGGGCTTTAATCAGAATACTTGCCTCACTCAGCATATGAGAATTCATACTGGAGAGAAGCCCTATAAATGTAAAGAATGTGGGAAAGCCTTTGCTCATAGCTCATCTCTTACTGAACATCATAGAACCCACACTGGTGAGAAGCTCTATAAATGTAGTGAATGTGAGAAAACTTTTCGCAAGTATGCACACCTTAGTGAACATTACAGAATTCACACTGGTGAGAAACCTTATGAATGCATTGAATGTGGAAAATTCTTCAGACATAGTTCAGTCCTTTTCAGACATCAGAAACTTCACAATGGTGAATAACCTTGGTGTTCAGGTTATGACAGCTTCTCTAGAAAGAGTGACCAGGAATCTGGCTGGGAGCAGTGGGGCAAGGAGAGTTCTTGGAGGGAAGGATGAAGGAACATCGACCATTACACTCAGAAAAATATTTCCAGTAGTGGAGGTAGGAGCTTGGAAAATGCAGAGCCTACTCCAGCTAGGCATCTGGGAATACAAGGTGGAAAGGAAATTCCTGCCTTATGGATAAATCCTTGCCACCTGCCACTCCTTTCTCTTGTGACTCTCATATCTTAAGGTACCATTTGTTAACACTAGTGTTGCCTTTACTATACTCCTGCCCCACCTTCCCAACTTGTGACCTGTGTTCTGTGGCCAGTTGGCTGGGGTATTTCCTAACATTCAGTGTGAAAGTTGCAGCGGTTCTGAGGTAGAGCTAAGCAGCCTTCAGACATCTGAGGCTGCTCTGAACATGTCATCTGTAGAAGTGTTCTCATGAAGGGGAGATGGAAATAAGGGAAAATAAAGAATCCTTATTCATTCATACAACAGATAAGGGGATATGTGGCAAGAACTGGGCTGATACATTTACAGATATGTTTGCGAAGAAGGCTTTTATCAGGGTAAGGGAGATCTTTCCTGATCCTTTCAAGCTGGAGGGCAATTTGTGGCTAAAAAGGAAGGAGAAGGTCAAGAAGAACTTCTCTTGAATGATGCTAGTTTGTGGAGTCAGATCTGCTTAGAGAGCCACAAAGAGGAAGGTCCAACCTTTGCCCAGGGGAACACACACCCAGGAGGGAAATGATGTGCTCTAGGCTGCTGGTGCTGAGGCCAGCACAGGAAGCCTGTGTTTGACCTTTCAGTTCACTTTCATATCCCAGCCCTGGACTAAGGTGTACACCTGTCTCTTACAAGTTTGGGTGGACCACTGGTTTGCAGGGTCCAGGGGAAAGAGACCCACCAGGGTTAACTATGTCCAAAAAATGTTAATTGGCGTTTAGGGAGGAGAAACCATTAGTGAAAAAAGAAGATGGCCTTTTAGGTTGGCTGGACTTGGGGCTGCTGGACCAGTCCTTAAGAGAGTATTGGTCGTTTTAGCAGGGAGAGCTGGATTTCATGTAATTATGCCATTGGTGACTATAAGCAGATTTATTACATTTCACATGTTTCTGTTTTTATCGGACTACCTTATTCTTGGATATTTACCCTTCCCTGCAGGTTAGGAGTATCTAGGGAAATACTCATGGGATAAATTTGGAAAGTGTATTAGATAGGACTACCTCTTTTTAAAATCCCTGAATAGTACAGTTTGCCACTATGATATTTTATTCTTTTTAAGAGAAAGGGCATTTCCCCCCTATTTATCTCCTTACTCTTTTTCATGTTGTTTACTGTAACTGAGAACTGAGAGATTATGTGAGGATTGCTTTTGACTATTTGTAATAATTTCAATGCCCTGAAGCTTATATAGTCTTTAAAATAATGACTGTTAAAAACAAAGTCAGTTGATTCTGGAATGGTCGGTTACTTAAAACTCAGTATTAGTTTTTTTTTTTTTTTCCCCAGAGCAGCTATCCTGTAAGCAGTGGTTTGAGATATTAATCACCATTAATGGGAGTGTGGCAGAAATATCACTCTCTTCCTCTCCAGCTATGAAGATTATATTCTCAAAACCTGCCATGGGGCAACTCATAATTGAGTAAATTAATTCCTTATGGACAAAAATAACCCTGTTAAAACTTTATGGTCATGAAAAATATTACTCAAAGAAAATATTGATGTATTTGTACTTCCTAAATGAAAATAACACTACAGAATTTATTGCTGGCACATAGTAAATGTTCAGTAAATATTTGTTGAGTTAATATATTTTAATCAAATTTTGCCCACCAGAAACTTTAGCAACTTCCTGATATGAAGATATTTATACACTACTGTCTATAAAGTCTTGAGATTAGAATTGGGAGAGTTCTTTTTGGGGGGTGGGGGAGAGTTTTCTTAAGGAAGAAATCGGAAATCTAAGGATGAAAGGTATCTTCAAGTTCTTGTTAGAGTTTCCAAAAATAAAAAAAAAATTTTAATCCTCAGGCTGAGAGTCTGATACCATTTTAACTTCCTGAGAAAACAGGAAGGAGGGATCCCTGGGTGGCACAGCGGTTTGGCGCCTGCCTTTGGCCCAGGGCGCGATCCTGGAGACCCGGGATTGAATCCCACATCGGGCTCCCGGTGCATGGAGCCTGCTTCTCCCTCTGCCTGTGTCTCTGCCTCTCTCTCTCTCTCTCTCTCTCTCTCTCTCTCTCTCTGTGACTATCATAAATTAAAAAAAAATAAAAAATAAAACAGGAAGGAAAGGAACTTGTCATCTTGTCACATGTTCTCTTATCACATGTTCTCACACTTGCAAGTATTTGCTCCTAGTTTCCTCCCAGTTGCTGGTCCAGTTGCTGGCCAGTCACATGCCCAGTCACTCCAGTCCCAAATCATGGAATTGCTCTTGGTCAGTCTTTTGCTCAGTCATCACATCCAAGCAACTACTGTATCCTGCTTCCATCTCCTAAATCTAGGAGCCATCTCCATTGCTATCACTTTAGTTCACTCCCCAGTCTATTTTCTAGACCATTTTCTTATTTTCACAATCAGTCTTACAGTTGCTTGCCCCACAAGGCTGTCTTTCACAAATTTTTCTGGATGGTATTTGTAAGACACAACTGGCAGCTCTACTGTTACCTCAAAATATCCAAGCCCCTTAAGAGATATCTGAAGCTCCTCCACTGGGCCATGCCTATGCTATCACACTCAGCTGCCTTCCCTGCATTGCATGCTGTTTCACAGTACAAATTCCTGTGATTCCACATCATTGCTGGACTCATCTTTGGCACCTTTTGCATATACTATTCCTATTGCCTCAATTTCCTTCCTTAATTCTGCTTGCCTGGAAAGCTTTTGTGTCACTTTTTTTTTTTAAAGATTTTATTTATTTATTCACGAGAGACAGAGAGAGAGGCACAGACACAGGTAGAGGGAGAAGCAGGCTCCACGTAGGGAGCCGGATGTCCAGGACCACACTCTGGGCTGAAGGCAGCAATAAAGTGGTGAGCGACCCAGGCTGCCTGATTTTGTGTCACTTGTGAATGTGCTCATGCAACATCTCCTTTGAAGCTGTCTCTGACCTCACATATTTTGTATTTCTGCATTTTGTATCTTCATTTTATTTATCATGTTGCATTGTAATGGCTTGTGTACAAACCTTTCTCTCCCCACTGAACTATCAGCTGTTAGAGCAGGAGCCATGTGATATTTGTTTATTCATCTTTGTATCCACAGTCTCTGGCACTTCCTTGCGATTAGTAAATATGTGTTGAGCTCAGTTAAAATATTGAGTCAGAGATTTCTCCATGCCTACCTGTAGGGTGTGACTTAGGTCCACAGTTGCCAGCAGAAAGGTGTGCAGAGTATGAGTATGCCACTGAAGTGTTTGCCAGGTGCAAGAATTCTGAATCTTTCCTAAAGATACAGATTGTGTCCTTATATTAAGCAGGGGGTCCCTTAAGAAAAAGTAATATTTTGTAGCAAGAAAAAAAAAAAACCCTTGTTATAAGGTTGTTTTGTTACAAATTAGCTATTTAAATGTTCCATCACAGTTTAGCAAAGTACTTACAGATATGTTGATGTCATGGTCTACAGGAAGAGGCAAATGCTTGCAGCTGTAGAAGTACAACTATGTCAGCTGGAATATCCCTGAAATAGGAAGTAGGAGTTGAATAGTGTTGCTGGTCTGGCAGGAGAGCTTTTGAGTTTAGCAATTCCAATGTGGAAGCATTTCCTGAGTTCATGGCTTTACCTGGCTCCAGATGATAAAGAACTGCAATGTGTTGCTTATTCTCAGTGTGCTGAAATTTATTCTGTGATTTCAGAAGAACATGGGATGAGGCTACATCATATCCTCAGAACAACAGTAGAGAAAACAGAAAGGTGGATGGTCTTGCCCAACGTCACATAGCTAGTAAGTGTCAAGTGGAATTTAAACTCCCATATCTTTTTTCACTTTTCCTTCAGATTTCTCTTTATTAGTCATACCTCTGTTCCATGATGCCTCTTTAGTTATAATTATTATAGAGCTGACCACATAGGACTTCAATTTTGGCCTGCTTGTGGGGATGGGAGGAGCTCATTTTAATATTTTGAAGTAATCTCTACACCAACATGGGGCTCAAACTCACAACCCAGAGATGACTAGTCACATGCTCTATCAACTGAGCCAGCCAGGCTCCCCTGGGAGCTCATTTTAGATCAAAAAGCTTTTTTTGCCTACAGACCTTCCTGTGTATAAGTGTGAGAAGTACATTGGTTTTACATTTTGATTTCACCTTTCTGCCTACATAATACAGAAGTCTAGCTTTTACCCCAGGTGGTTTTAATTTTCACTGCCCTTGAGCTCATGACCACTGCAAAGCTAAGGTCACTTTTGTGGAAAGTTTTTGGTAGCCACTCTTCCCCTGCCCACCCCCCACTCCATTTTCCACCTCATTGAAGGAAGCTTAGCCCAAATTGTATTAAGCCACAGATTCATGTTTCTGGTAAATTGCTCTATGGTACTCTACTCCAGAGTTAGTTTCTACACAGCAGAGTCTGCTGACTTAGATTCTTTGAAGCTTAAACGGGGCAAAAATGATTAGGCCTAGGCTTTCTGACCTGTGGGATGTTAGGGCTTGTGCAGGGGGCTGGGGGTGGGGGTGGCAGAGAACTTGCTATTTGATTCCAAAGAAGTGCTGAGAATGTGACACTTGGTAAAAAGTAAGATGAACTCAACATTATTGTTCCCTGGCATGTCAGCTGACAGTTCTACAAAGGATCCTCTTTTAGCTGAACAGGGTTAGTGATGGCCTTAGTCTGGGGCAGCCCAGTGATTAGGGCATCACTCCTCATTTCAGCCTCCTAAAGGTAAAACAGCCAGTCTGGAAATTTAAGCAGATAACTTCTCTATTGCATCTCATTCATTTTTTTCCAGTGTTTATTGAGTGCCCCCTATGGATTGTACAGTAGACAACTGTATTTCCCAGAGCTTGCACATCAGTAAGAATGTCTGTAAGTGTATCAGGTGCCCTGCCACCCATGCCTTCATCTCAGGAATACACTCAAGAGGAGCCTGTATGTGCAAGTATTTCCTGAGCAAGTCTCAGTAAGATATGAAGTTTTGCAGCAGAGGTGATGAGGGCCTTGAAGGCTGGCAAGGTCCCGTGAAGCCAATGCAGGTCAAAGAGGACGAGCTGGAATCTGTGGAACATGATAGGACAAACATTTTTTTTAAAAGATTATATTTATTCATGAGATACACAGAGAGAGGGAGAGAGAGGCAGAGGCACAAGCAGAAGGAGAAGCAGTCTCCATGCAGGAGCCAGACGTGGGACTCGATCCCTGGACTCCAGGATCACGCCCTGGGCTGAAGGCAGGCGCTAAACCGCTGAGCCACCCAGGGATCCCCTACTGAACTTTTTTTTAGTGCTGTAAGGTCTTAGTAGTTATATATATTAACCTCATTTAATCCTCATGGTAACCTGAAATGCGGTGTCATTATTATTTCTGTTCTATAAGTCAGGAAACAGCTACAGAGAAGTAAATAACTTGCCCAAGTTTGCACGCTGAAAATCAGGGACTTGACCTGAAAACAGAGCTCTAATGCTCTTAGGGCCAACTGTTGAACAAAGATCCTAAAGCAGAGGGAACTTGGGGTGCCTGTGAGGAGGCCAGTTTTCTGGCAGGTGAGAATGTAAGAAAAGTTGAAGCCAGCTTTGAGAAGCCCTCCAAAAGTCAGTGACACGGAAGAGTTTTTAGGAAGATAAGGCAAGTTGCAGAATGAACAGTAAAAGCGCCTTGTGGTCCAGGCCAGCAGTCTCTTTGGTTCGGTTTCCTTACTCTGGGAAGGAGCGCGGTGAGGTGGGTTTACGGCTGTTTCTGCAGCTGGGGCTCCGGTGTCGGGCTGAACCCCCAGCTCTGGGCCGGGCAGGAAGCACCGAGAGGGAGCCGCTCCCGCCTTCCTAGAGAGGAGCCCACAGGGGTCTGACCGCGGCGCGGACTGTTGACGTCACGCGGGCCCGGCGCGGCGGGCGCTGGCTGCAAGGCGCCGCCAGGTGTCGCAGGCAGCGCCGTGCGTGTCGAGTCGGCGGTGCCCAGCTGCTACGGTTTTGTCGTCGCCCCTCCCTCGGAGCCGGGGCCGGCCCGCCGCAGCGCCTCTTCCTCGCGCGGAGACCCTCGGAGGAGGGGTCGGGTGCCGCGGGGTCCTGAAGAGAGAAAGGCGAAGCCTGTTCGAGAGCCCTGTTCTGGGAATCGGGAGACCTGGGTACCGTTTGCATGTACTTCGGGGACGAAGCGAACTTCTGATTCCTCAGCTCTCTGATTTCCAGAAGCCAGTGCTGTTTCTTGCTGTGCCACTTGACAAAGTCGAGCGGGTTGAATGATTATATGCGAGAGTTATCAACTTCCTTTAAGCTTTTAATCTCCTCTCATAGCAACAAAATAGGTACCTGTGAGGACATATAGACCCGAGACTTTAACAGCAGGTACTATTGAAGGCTTTTTTCTAAAGGCTTCCCATGTATTAACTCATTCATGCATCATCACAACCCTATAAAGTCATTATTTAGTCCATATGACGTTTGAGAAATGACCTCGAAAAGGTTAAGCAACTTCCCACTATCATTTGCTCATATTTGGTAGAGCAGGATTCAAACCGAGTCCTGGCCCCGAAGTCCACGCCATACTTCGGGTTTAGCAGAGGAAGACAAATATAATCAGAGCATCAAAACAGTAGAAAGTGCTGCAGTAGAGGTATGTGAAATTCTTTGAGAACGTAAAGGAGAAAAGGCCTTGCAAAAAAAAAAATAATAATAATTACCCACCTATGAGAAGTGTAGTGGTTCACTTGTTCGTACAAGTTTAAAAAGTAGTAGTTTGTTCAGTGTCCGATAGGGGGTGCTAGTGGATTGGGATGGATTAGACTGGTCATCAGATCCCTGATTTTTTTTTTTTTTTTAATTTATGATAGTCACAGAGAGAGAGAGAGAGAGGGAGGGAGGGAGGCAGAGACACAGGCAGAGGGAGAAGCAGGCTCCATGCAGGGAGCCTGATGTGGGATTCGATCCCGGGTCTCCAGGATCACGCACTGGGCCAAACCGCTACGCCACCCAGGGATCCCAGATCCCTGACTTTTAATACACTGTTCTTTCCTCCCCATTCAGAGGGAGTTCTTAAAAGCTTTCTTCCCAGGAGGGGTCTTTAACATCTTCCAAAAGACTCCCCCTGTCCTTTCTTCTACATGCTGCCTAAATGCAGTCTTATTTTCCTGAAATTCCTCTACCTCTGATTCTGGTAAGATAACTGTAGGGGAGTTTCCTTGCTGTTGACTCAGCCTATTCTCTGACAGAGTACCTGTGCAGTTAGTATTTTTCAAATAAATGAATAACCAGCCTCAATCAAAGATGGACTGGACTTGAGGTTTTTGCTCTTTTCCCGTGTTTTTGGAATCAAGGGATTACAGAATGTTGGTACTAGTTTTCCACTTTCAATTCACAGATAAGACTGAGTGAGTGACTAGCTTTAGGTCACTGAACAAGTCAGTAGCAAAGCCCTGACTAGAATGCAGACTTCTTGACTCAGGCCAGCGTTTATTCTAATGCCCTCTACCATGGCCCCAGTTTTTGACTTTTGAAGTCAATGGCTTTTCCAGTAGGTTTGGGGAGGGGCCTTTGGATCCAACTTTCTCTTTTGTGGAGGTATTTTTACTTGAGGATAGTTCTTAGGAGGACCTGCCCCCTTTCTTTGTGCAGTGTCAGGTCTCTTGGAGGACTACCCACTTATTGATTTTGGTCATTGGTGATACTTTTTAAAAAAGACTTTTTAGGGATCCCTGGGTGGCGCAGCGGTTTGGCGCCTGCCTTTGGCCCAGGGCGCGATCCTGGAGACCCAGGATCGAATCCCACGTCGGGCTCCCGGTGCATGGAGCCTGCTTCTCCCTCTGCCTGTGTCTCTGCCTCTCTCTCTCTCTCACTGTGTGCCTATCATAAATAAAAAAAAAAAAAAATTTAAAAAAAAAAAAAAAAGACTTTTTAGAGAGTGAGCATGTGCATTTGCATGTAGGAGGAAGGGCAGAGGGAGAGGGATTGAGAGTCTTAAGGAGACTTCATGCTGAGCTTGGAACTCGATGTGGGGCTTGATTTCACCACTCTGAAATCATCACCTGAGCCAAAACCAAGAGTCAACCACTTACCCACCTGTACCACCCAGGTGCCGCATTGGTGATACTGTTCTGATTCTTCATTTAGACTTAAAATAGTTATTTGGCTAGGGATTGGCTATTCCTGGGTTCCTCTGAGTTCAGAATAGGAAGGAAGTAGGCTTACAATTTATGGGTGCTTTTTCCTCTCCCTCCATGCCTCAGATGCCTGCCCTCCCTCAAGAGAAGGCCCCAGAAGACAAACCAGTGTTGTTTGTGTTCCTAACGGCTTATCTCTGGGTAAGTGAAATCTAACTAGAGAGCCCAGGATGGGTGTGTTCATTCACAAGTGGTGGCAGAGCTATTGTGAGATGACCCACCAGTGACAACTACACCTAAACACTGCAGACTAAAAACACAGAACCACTCAGAAATGGCCCCATCTTATTAAAATCAGACTGATTATGGCCTGTTGTGGAAGCAGGCAATAGAGTAATTGTTTTGGACAGATCAGATAATATACTAATTTTATATCACATGTACTTAAACTGTAGCAAGAATAGCTAGTTACCTGGTAGCTACTCACTGAACTGGTAACTATCATGTCTTAATGGTGTAGCAGTCAGATATGGGAAAACTGGTAGTAAATTACTGGAAGACTCATCACAAAAGTGGTTTAAGTGTGTCCTCAAAGAATATGAATGGGCTCCTGACTCTGGAACAAGAGCCTAAGTAATAGCAACTTCCATTATTATGGGGCATCAGAAGGCAACATGGAGCTTGGGGATTTGTTAAATTCAGTAAGAACAGTATTGTATGAACTGGATTCTTAGGCTATAGGAACTCCATGAATAGACTGTCACTGTTTATGGCTGACGAACTCAGTTTAGTTTAATATGTAGGCATAATATATGTGTATGTGTTTGTGTACATGCATTGAGAGATGGCTAAAAGAAAAGGCTGTCAAAAAACCAAGTGTATTTTCACTAGGTGATAGGATTTCAAGTAATTTCCTTTGTGGACTGTTTTTTTAGAATGAGTATGCATTCTTTGTGTGGTAAAACAACAACAACAACACTTTCTGAGACAATAAAAATAAAGGAAATGAAAGTGTGGTTAGAGTTTTGGTTTTATGTTTAGCTGTTTAAACCACCTGGCATTAAATTTTATATACAATGTATCTGTACTGGAAGTACACAAAAAATAAAGATAGCTATGTTCAGGAAAAATATTCAATAAATTTAGCAACCAATGCAGTACAGTACTACCCAATCAGATCCGTCTCTGACTGTAAACAGTGCAGAGATACCAGTGTATACCAACTAACTCTTAGGGTAGACCCATATGTACTAACAAGAAATGATTTTGAAGACACATTCTTTAGTGTAAAAAGAAAAAAGCAATAGCACAATAGAACCTATAGAACAATTTTATCTATGTAGAGAGAATAAAATGTGTAGAAAAAAGACTGAAAGGGATGATTGGGTGACTCAATGGTTGAGCATCTGCCTTTGGCTCAGGGTGTGATCCCGGGATCTGGGATTGAGTCTCACATCGGGTTCCTTGCCGGGAGCTTGCTTCTCCCTCTGCCTGTGTCTTTGCCTCTCTTTCTGTGTGTTTCTCACGAATAGATAAAAATCTTAAAAAAAAAGACTGAAAGAATATACTCTAGAGTTAATGTTTCCTTCCTAATTAAGGAAGGAAATGGGTTGGGGCAGTCTTGGTGGCTCAGCAGTTTAGCGCCTTTGACCTGGGGCGTAATCCTGGAGACCCGGATTGAATCCTGCGTCGGGCTCCTTGCATGAAGCCTGCTTCTCCCTCTACCTGTCTCTGTGTCTCTCATGAATAAAAAAAAAAAAAATTAAAAAAAGGAAGGAAATGGGTTTGAGTAGGGTGGGATGGTGAGGAAAAAAATGACTATCCCACATCTTTCTGTATTACCTAAATATTTTAAAGTGAGGATATATTAATGTATAATTTATATTAAAAAACTAAAGTAAACAGGGGCCTTAGAGAATAAGAATGTGTCAGTGTCTCTGGCACTATTCAGGGAAGATGTTGCTGATGTGTGGCACCTAAGTATCTGCTCTCAGATTCTGTGTGCCCTTATTCAGAGCATCAGGGTTTCAAAGTCTGATGCCATTCAGATCATCTAAGTATTTCTTTTTCTCCAGTTCTAAGGAGTGTCCTCAATGACTTGTTTTTTTTTTTTTTATGATTTGGTTCTTATACAGTTTTTCTATAGTGGAGAGAATGTGTCAACCAGCTGGACATTGAGCGTATATATTTTTCACTGTAGATCAGCAAAGTGACTGTTTTCTACATCACCTTGTGAATATGATTAGTATACATCAGATTCTGAAGCATTTCATTAGTGTCAAAGGTGAGGGCCAGATTCTGGACCATCATGCTATAGTCAAGTTACTGTCCAATAGGAATCTCTTCCCCAAGGACCACCCCATCCTATTTTTCTTCAAACAAAACAATATTTTACTTTTAGTAAGCAGGGCTCTATTTTCAAACCTAAAGATCTTCCAGACGGGAGAGAGCTACAGATGCTGAATATTTTGGAGAGAGAGGTCCAAAAAGACACCCATTAAAGTGAGTGAATAGGAAGGATTAGTGTGATCGACCTAGTAGAAGTTACAACTTGGAAAGCCTTTTTTTTTTTTTTTTAATATTTAAGGGGGTACCTGGGTGACTCACTGGTTGAGCATCTGCCTTTGGCTCAAATTATGATCCTGAGATCCTGGGATTGAGTCTCACATCATGCTCCCTGTAGGGAGCCTGCTTCTTCCTCTACCTTTGTCTCTGGCTCTCCCTCCGTGTCTCTCATGAATAAATAAAATCTTTTAAAGAATTATTTATTTTTAGAAAGAGAAGGGGGGAGCAGCAGAGGAGAGGATGAGAGAGAATCTGAAGAAGACTCCCCACTGAGCACATAGAGCCCAACATGGGGCTCGATCCCAGGACCCTGAGATCATGACCTGAGCCAAAACCAAGAGTTGGATCCTTACTGAACTGAGCCATCCAGGCACACCTTTGAAATCTTAAAGAGAAATTGAGTGTCCCTAGACAATGATGTAAGCTTGTACTTTCTCAAATGGCATGAACAAGATATTGCTTACAGGCAACCTAAGAAAATATAATTACTTTTCACCTATTTTTTGAGGAGTAGAGACTGTAGGTAGGTAGTAATTTTCCCTAACATGAATTTACCCAAGATTAGTATGCTCATCCCTTTCACATCCTACTGTGTATCACTCTGGATAATCCTAAATTACCTGGATTCATTTTTTAGTATTTAAGTGTTCCACAATCACAATAGGGAATTTTATAGATTTCCCAAGACCTGTCACTACTTAATCTCTTCTCCCTAATATCTAATCTTTTCTCTAGGTCATTGTGATCCATCTCTATTATTGAGAAGAGGATAAAATCAAGATTCCACAATGCAGGTCCCTTGTTCTTCATACAGGACATTTTCCTTCATGATTTTTTTTTTTTTTCAGGCAAGAACACCAAGCCTGATGCAACAGTGTTAAATGACTTGTGGAAGCTGTGGAGTGTCAGAGAACCTGGTTGTCTGGGGTTTGCATTTGGAGAAGGTGAAGACACATGCTGAAGAAGGCGGAGGAGGCATATCCTGCAGGAATGCCCAAGAGGATAGTTCATGTACTCATATACCCAAAGCTTTCCCAGGACAGTGTTATTGTAACCATAATCATCTCTGAGAAAGCACTTTGGAAATATGATTTTGGGAGTTTCCTCTAAACCTGAAACTACTGGACAGACATTCCTTGTATTACAAGCAGCATGAGTTCCAGCCAGATTCCACTGCACATGAACCCTCAGAGTTGTAACATGTGGAAGAAACCTTCAAAGTGTAGTGAATGTGGGAAATTCTTTACTCAGAGATCATCTCTTACTCAGCATCAGAGGATTCACACGGGAGAGAAGCCCTACATATGTAGTGAGTGTGGAACTTGTTTCCGTAAACAGTCAAATCTTACTCAACATTTGAGAATTCACACAGGAGAGAAACCGTATAAATGTATCGAATGCGAGAAAGCCTTTCAAACAAAAGCAATCCTTGTTCAGCATCTGAGAATTCATACTGGAGAGAAACCCTATAAATGCATGGAATGTGGCAAAGCCTTTTGTCAGAGTCCATCCCTTATCAAACACCTGCGAATTCATACTGGAGAGAAACCGTATAAATGCATCGAATGTGGCAAAGCCTTTAGTCAAAGCATTTGCCTTACTCGTCACCAGAGAAGTCATTCTGGAGATAAACCTTATAAGTGTAACGAATGTGGGAAAGCCTTTAATCAGAGTACATGCCTCATGCAGCATCAGAGAATTCATTCAGGAGAGAAGCCTTACACATGTACTAAATGTGGTAAAGCCTTCACTCAGAACTCCTCCCTTGTTGAGCATGAGAGAACTCACACTGGAGAGAAACTTTACAAGTGTAGTGAGTGTGAAAAAACTTTCCGCAAACAAGCACACCTTAGTGAACATTACAGAATTCACACCGGAGAAAAACCTTATGAATGTGTTGAATGTGGGAAATCCTTCAGGCACAGCTCAGCGCTTGTTCGACACCAGAGACTTCATGCTGGAGAATAAAATTTGAGATATAACATTGTGGAAAGATTTGTATGAAAATGCCAATCTCCTCCCCCTCCCCAAATTCTTAGAACTTTAAGACTCAGTCTTCAGCAGGGATGAATGTTCTGTATGTTGAGCAAGACACAAAGCATCCTGAAAGTTAAGAAAACAGACTCAGAACTAGGTAGTCTTGAGTTTGATGCCTTCTCTACCACTTAATGGGTGTAAGACCAGATCCTCTCTGAGCCTGTTTTCCCTATCCTCCTCAAAAGTATAATGAGGGGAAAAAAGTATAATGTTATCTTGAGAATAAAATGGGTTGTATATAGTAAATAACTGCCATTAATTGGTTTTGAGTTATAGATGTTCCAGAAATTATATAAATCTGGCTACTGAAAACAAGCAAAGCTAAGCATTAGATTTTGGTTCTTAATGTATTTTCAAAAAAAACCATTCTTTTTATTTTTTTATTTTTTAAAGATTTATTTATTTATTCATGAGAGATACACAAAGAGAGGCAGAGACATAGGCAGAGGGAAAAGCAGGCTCTCTCTGGGGAGCCCGATGTAGGACTCAATCCCAGGACCCTGGGATCATGACCTGAGCCAAAGGCAGACAATCAACCACTGAGCCACCCAGACGTCCCCCATTTTTACTTATTATTTTTTAAAGATTTTATTTATACATGAGAGACACAGACACACAGAGAGGCAGAGACATAGGCAGAGGGAGAAGCAGGCTTCCTATGGGAAGCCCAATGTGGGACTCAATCCCAGGACCTCAGGATCACGGCTTGAGCCCAAAGTAGATGCTCAACCACTGAGCCACCCAGGTGTCCCCTGGTTTTATTTTATTATATATATATATATTTAAATATGGAACGCTTCACGAATTTGCATGTCATCCTTGCACAGGGGCCATGCTAATCTTCTCTGTATCATTCCAGTTTTAGTATATGTGCTGCCAAAGCAAGCACTGGTTTTATTTTTAAAAAACATTCTTGAAATTGGGCCATGATTTCATGCTTAATCTACAGAAACTTATTTAAACTATGTCCAGATTTAAAAAGAATACAATTTAAGACCAGTTTATTCTTGAGAAAATTCAGATTGAATTAGAGAAAAAAGGAAATTATTGGGATTTGAGCAGATCTTGTGAAGTATACTGCTGGGTACCCTGAAGAGCTTTTTTTTGATTTGATACCTCCCACTGTTGGACCTTATTTCACTTCAAGCTCTAGACCTCTCTTTCCCTGAAAAAGGAAGTCTTGGTGATACTAACTGAATAAAAACTCATGTTGCAGGACTTTTGTGTGTTGGGCAGGGGGTCAGTGAGGAGAAATTTTAGAATTATAAAGAGGGGTGGAAATAGAGGATACCATAAGCATGTTCATTAGCATGTGGCTGTACTTGCTTGGAAATTTGTGAAATGGAATAAAGAAAATGTCACTTAAAAATGGAGTTGGGAAGCCAGAGAGGGGAGTTCACATATATCACACCTTACAGCCCTTTGCAGAAACAACAGAGCCATACCTTGCATTCCTAACAAGAAGCCTACTTTACTAACCCCCAGCAGGAAGAAGGAAGGTTTTCTCCTTGCCTGGCAACAGCCTAGCCAATGAGACTGTCACAACTCAGCCAATGAAAAAGCATTCCACTTCAAGCTCCCAGTATACTCCAATGGACATTTTATCACAACTCCTCCAAATTCCTTCTTTCCTCAGTAAAAGGGCAATCCCCTCCTTGTTCTCCTGACTTGCCTATGGTTTTGTAGTAGCTTGTATATCCTGAATTGCAACTGTCTACTATTCTCAAACCCATGTTGCTGGTAAAATAACTGACTTTTATTTTTAAGGCTAATAAATTCTAGGAGCACAACACTAAAGAGGGCCTCTTAAGGGAAAAGGAGGGCAAGAGACATTGAATTCTCAAGTGTCAGCAAGTGGTACCACTGACCAACAACTTTTGGTTTATTCTTCTCATGGATCAAGTCCAGAATCCATAGCTGGTGCAGCAGCTTCTTGAGGCATGCTATCAGGATCCAAGTGCCTTGAGTCTTTCCACTGTACCACCCAGGAAAAGGGTCTGCCTTCCTTAGGGCAAAAAATGGCACCAGTACTCCTCTAAGTTTCATGTATGTGCTCTGGGATGTAGCAGGATGTAGCAAGGACAAAGTTTCATGCTTGCCAGACCTGCTTTCTTTTTCTTTTTTTTTTTTTCAGACCTGCTTTCTTATATCAAACACCTGGTAGCTTTGTTAAGCAGACTTCTATTTGTATCTCTTTTTGTTATCAACTACAATCACCATGTTATACATTAGATCCTTATTTCTATCAAGATCATTTGTATTAGATCCTCACTTGTACAAGTTCCACTTTTATCTCTAAAATTGCCAGAGCTGTTATATGGCTACCTTTAGCAGGAGCTGGGTAACTATTCTTAACTAGGCACATTATCATCCTCATTCAAAATGAGCTTCTGCTAATGTAGAAGATTCAGTAGGTGCTCTGTTTAATGACAAAATCCTCTGTAGCAATTACGTTAAGTTTCTGAATTACTGATCTGGAAAAATGCTCACACTATAATGTCATGTGAGAAGCAGGAGAGAAAACATATACAATATAATCTTAATTTTGTTTAAAAAATATAATTTACATTTACATACATACATACCCCACGTGTGGGAGTTCCAAAATGTTAATAGTAGCTATTATCTACAGAGTTAGAATCATGTCAAAGAAGTATTGATAGACAAAATTTTTATCATACTAAATTTTTTTCTGAATTCTCTGAACTTTCTATAATGAACCTTTATTATCTTTAAATAGAAAAAAAAGTCACTTTAAAAAACACCCCATAAGCTCTTGAAGACTAAGTTCAAAATATTTACACTTATGCAGTTTCATCTTCATTGTCAAAAGAAAGGAGGGAACTGTTTTTTATTTGCTTTTGTGAGTTCTTTTTAACCGAGTCCTGATTATTTATTTCATCTTCCTTTGCCTTCCTCTTTTTTGAGCTTGCTGTTAAACCTGAGTATTTTTCATCTGATGAACGCTTGACTGGTTTCCGATACATGATTCTTCCATCAACTGCAGCTGGTTCTTCATCTGCAGCAAAGACAAAGTTAAATAACTTTCTTCTCTCATTATTTTGTCTTTATTGGAGAGTCAAATGGCAAGAAAATCTCAGGTGGTTTTTATGGATGTCCTGAGTTAATTCAGTCTGGTCTTCTCCACTGCTTCTAGTTTATATACCCATAAAACATGCAGTCCTTTAATAAAAACTCACGTCCTGAAGTATTCCATCATATTGCCAGTCCCCAATTAATTACAATCAGGCTGTATTTTTAAGTATTATGAAAAGTGATTGTTTGGAACTCCAGCATTTTTACTTAAAGCAATGTAATAAATATCAGGAATAATGAAAACTATACCATGTAGCATACCACGGTTCAGGCACTGATTAAATACACTTCTGTTAGCTAATCTGTAAACCTAACCACCTTTTTTTTTTTTTTTATGATAGTCACAGAGAGAGAGAGAGAGAGGCAGAGACATAGGCAGAGGGAGAAGCAGGCTCCATGCACCGGGAGCCCGACGTGGGATTCGATCCCGTATCTCCAGGATCGCGCCCTGGGCCAAAGGCAGGCGCTAAACCGCTGCGCCACCCAGGGATCCCTTTTTTTTTTTTTTAAACAGGATGTTTTTATTTAGATTTGCACTCCTAACAACTCAGTAAGGTAGGTAACATAGTCCCCATTTTACTGATGAGTAAAATGATGAATTGCCAAGGCTCGGAGGTGAAATAACTTGTTCAAGATTACACATCTGGTGTGTGTTAAAGCCAATGTTTGAACCTAGGACTATCTCTTTCAAACATTCCATATTTATTACATAAGACAATTTCATATTCCAGGCTTCTTACATGGTTAGAAAAACCAGATTACTTCCAGACATACCTGCTTTGGCAGCTTTTATTTCTGCTTTAATTTTCATGACTTCTTCAACTGACAGGTCTCCCTTTTTTAAAACCACCACTTGGGGCTGTTCATCTTCTTTGTCACTGTGATCACCATCTTCATCTGGGAGCTGAAGCTGGGTGCTCTAGGGGAAAACACAAACACAATACGGAAGCTGCTAACCTCGAACCAAATATAACTGTTCTCTGTGAGACGCTGTGATTAATAAGTGACAAGGATAACTTTATTCACTAAATATATTTGGTAATGAATTTTCAAGTAACTCTTAAGGGCCTAACCTTGCCACATTAGGGAAGAAGTCTACTTTCCAGTTCTACTGGGCAGTGCCTGCCCGAAGGGATTAATTTCCATCTCAGCAGGACCCCAGCCTGCAGGTCCCAAAGTAGGGGGTAGGGGGCTCTGCTTCATGGACTGCCAGCATTCCCAGCCTCCTCAGGGCATGCTAAATCACACCAGTTCTCTCTGCTCTTCATCAACTGTTTTCACTTCCATCTCTTCTCAAAGTCTGACAAAAAATAAAAAATAAAAATAACACCAAAGTACAGAAAGCAGCAAGTAAAAGGCAGTCTTTATTCCACCTTTGATGACCTTTCTTCCCTTCTAATAGTTTCAGTTTGGTGGGCATCTTATCAGCTATTTTCTAATAGTATAAAAATATGGAGTATAGAAAACATTCGGTATATAAACAGGATATTGTACATATTACATCACTTGATTTCTTTTCTTTATAAAATTTCCCAAACATAAAGAAGTACAGAGAATACCAACAGAAACCATGTATTCACTATATACATGTAACAAGTGGTAACCTCTGGCCAGTTGATTCAGATTTTCAAAAAATGTCAGTTACTGGGATACCTGGGTGACTCAGTCGGTTAAGCCTCTACCTTAGGCTCCCTGTTCAGTGTGGAGTCTGCTTTTCCCTCTCCCTCTGCCCCTCCCCTCTGCTTCTGATCTCTCTCTCTCAAAAAAAAGTCAGATACCACACAAGCCCTTCTCCCTCAACTTTTTTACTCAAAAAAAAAAAAAATCTTTGTATAATACCTTCCATATTTATTAATATGGAATTATCTATTTTAAAAATCACTGCCTAGTATTTAATTGTGTATGTGGTCATCTCATGGCTTATTTGACCGGTACCCTGTAAATACAAATTTTAGTTGTTTCTAGTTTTTTCCCACTATGCTTTGTTTACTTTTTTCTACTATGCACTTGTTTTTGTTCACTTTTGTGAACTTATATGTAAGATAAATTCCTAGAAGTGGAAATGCTGGGTTGAAAGGAATGCATACCCACCACATGTTATTCAAGTAACTTTTACTCCACCTCTCAAGAGTCCTGTCTCCCCAAACAGGGCAACAAAGCCCTCATGATCTGGCCTACGAACACAGCATTATTCTGTACCACACCCACGGCCTCTGGACACCAGCCAGGTTGGAAGACTGCAGATCCACGAACATATTATATTAGCTCCTCTGCCTCCCATCTCTGAACAAGTTCCAAGTGCCTAGAAACCCCATGGCCCCTGGTCCACACCAACTTGAGCTGCCTTCTAGACTTAGATTTTTTAGAAGTACATTCCTAATGTTGCCTCATCTTCTTTCTCACACTGTGCATAGCTCATAGGGAGCATGTGCCAAACAGAGTTATCAATATTTTTCTATCTGCTCACCACTAGGTGAGCTCCTTTGAGAGACACAGAGCCTGACAAACAGCAGGGATGATACAAGGAGTATTTGTTGGTTTACTCATGAATGACTAATAAGATGAAAAATGATGAACTACCTAAAGCCCCGGTGGGGAAGTCATTTTGTCTATATCCCAAGTCTGCTCAATCATTTGACACAGTGCATTCTCTTTAATAATATCCATGTTAGTGCACAGATTACTCATTGGTTTTGCCTATTTTTTTTTCTGAAAGATTCCAATAAGTCATCACACACTAGTAAATAAGTATTTTTCACCATGGAAATGGGAAAATGAAATAAAATCATTCCTGGGGTGCCTGGCTGGCTTAGTTGATAGAGCATGTGACTCTTGATCTTGGGATTTTGAGTTCAAGCCCACAATGGGTGTAGACATTACTTAAAAATAAAATCTTAAAAGAAACAGTCAAAGAAACAGTGGCGCTCAAAGCCACTCTTGAATTAACTCTCAAGATGGTGAATAAGATAATTTAACTCAATTATGTAATTATTTCCCATGAAACTTATCTTTTTGCTAACAGATCACTAGAACAATGGTTATAATGCCAACCCAAGAGTACGGCTGGTTTCTCAACCACAGACATGGGGTATCCCTTTATGGAAAAGTCTCTTAACTAGGGAAGTCTAAATCATTGATATGAATTGGAAAGTGCCCCTCTCCCCAAGTTTGTTTGTTTGTTTATTTATTTTTTTATTTATTTATTATTTTTTAGACTTGGAGACTTGGCATTCCTTTTTTTTTTTTTTTAAAGATTTTATTTATTCATTCATGAGAGACACAGAGAGAGAGGCAGAGGCACAGGCAGAGGGAGAAGCAGGCTCCATGCAGGGAGCCTGACATGGGACTCGATCCCAGGTCTCCAGGATCATGCCCTGGGCCGAAGGCGGCGCTAAACCATTGAGCCACCCAGGCTGCCCTCTCCCCAAGTTTTAAAATAGCATTCCAAGCTAGAATCTTCAGGGTGTTAATTATTCACACATGATCATTACAAGAACCTCAAGCAAACCGTAAAATTAGGTCTCATATTCTCCCCATTGCTAAATCTATGTCTCTTTCCTCAAATCTCATCCTCTTTGTCATCATTATTGGTTTGGGTCCTGGGAAATCAGTCACTCTCTGATCATGTTATCTCTAACCAAAAACCGCTCCTTGTTGCTTACTGAATAGGCCATGTGGCCTCCCTTCAACCAGTTCCTCAATCATCTCTACACACAGTCCATGACTCACTTTTTAAAAAAATTTTATTTTTAAACAATCTCTACACCCAGTATAGGGCTCAAACCTACAACCCTGAGATCAAGAGTCACATCCTACACTGACTGAGCCAGCCAGGTGCCCCAGCGACTCACCATCTTTATACCTTTATCTACCCTTCCTTCCATCTCTACTTGCTGTCCTACCCATGCTCAAGATTCAATCTAACTATCCCTTCCTCTGTGAAGCCTTCCCTGACAATAGTCAATACAAATGGTCATCTACTACCTGGTGCCAGACACTGTGCCAGCTGCTGGGAAAACACAGAAAGATTAAGATACTAACTTGGAGAGTTTGATTTAGTGATGATGATACACAGGAGAGCAAGTCGTTGCAATGCAAAATGATGACTATAACAGATATGAACAACGTGAAGAGAAAAACAGGAAAAGCAATGCTTTGGAGGAGTTTTGAAGAGGTTCACAGAGGTAGTAACCTGTGAAGGCAGAGATGAGACAGGCAGGAAAGTTTTAAAAGAATATGGTATTTTGGAGATTCATTTCTCTGTCCTTTCAGAGCCCAGCACAATGCCTGGTCTTAGCACATACTCACTGGGTTGAGTAATTTCACATAAGTCGATCTTGTTTCCTTTACAAAGCTCTAAGTGACTTGAGGAGTGGGTATTCGTGAAAGCACTAGACACAGTGCTAAATGAATCCTCTATTTCGCCACACAACCCCTAAGCATAATAGTCTCTTCCTACTGAAAGCAGCAGGGGAGGTTCTGGTGTGAACCAATTAGCCCGAGAGCACTCAAAAGTTGATTCCCACGGATCCCCATCCCTAAACTATTCAGGTGTTTCTCTTTCCTGAAGCTCCTCTTCTATTTAGATCCAGAATATTCTTAAACATGCTTTGAGGGGTGGAGATGGGGGGGAAGCAGGCAGTAAACAACAAAGCATAAAAACAGATCCAGGGCATTCTTCCAAAGATGCTTCAGACTTTCAGGCCTAGGACATCAGGTCATTTGATCGAGTGGCTTCGGTTTCTTTTATCTGGAAAACGGGACTAAGCTACTACTCGTCTAGCGAACTCGTCTAGCGAAGGTTTTGGGATCAGCGAATAAGACAAGAGAGGAAAAGAATCTTTCTTAACCATCTACCAAGGACGAAGCGCTTTACCAGCATCAAGTCATTTTCAAGAATACAACAGCACTACGAAAAACGACAGACTCCTGGGCGTACGAGGCTGTAATTGAAGAAGACTAGCCTCGGGGCTGAGACCCACCCAGATTCGAGGCTGGGAGCAAGTGGGAGGAGGGACCTGTCAGCGCCTGGCCTCCAAGTCAAGACAGAACCCGGAAACGGCAGGGCGGCCCGGGTTTCTGAGGTCACGCGACTGGCCTGGGCTCACCTTGGTTTCCACAGTGGGCCCTTCCCTGTAGCCGACACGTTCCTTGAAGCGGGCCAGGAACGCCGGCTCGGCAGGACGCACGTACGAAACCTGGTTCCTCTTGCTCATGGCTGCTTCGGGGCAAACACAGGTTCCCGGCGCCGCCTGGAGATGGTACATTGGCGACGGCGCCTGCTTGTGACGTCACGTCGTCCCCGCCCCCGCCAGAGGCCGGGCAACATGGCGGCCTCCTTGCTGGCGTCAACGTCCGGCCCGAGCGCCAAATTCAAATTTGCGGCCATCTTGAGCGTGCAGAATCCCGGCGCGCTGCGCGGCTGAAGGTGGGATTATCCGCCGCGTTGGTCTTGGGATCAAGCTGTGAGGGCGCCATGGCGCCGGGCTGCAAAAGTAAGTAAGGCGCTCAGGCTTCCTGAGTCCCAAATATAGTAAAGGATGGGGCTCCCCGCCCGGGGTTTCCCCGCTGAGCGTGAGGGACAGCAGTGGACTGAGCGGCGCGGAGCGTCTGGGACCTCTCTCTGTCCCTCCTACAGACAGCTGTCTTTCCTTCTCTCCGTGTATTGGCCCCACAGCACGAGCCAGGCGCAGTTGTAGGCGCCTGGGCTGGGCAGTGACCCGGAGAGCCCTCCTCCAGGAGCCTGGCGCCCAGCCACCGCTGGTTTCGTCCTTCGGTCCTCCGTTCCGCCGTTTCGTCGCTGCCCTGTCCCCGCGTCCCGCCTGGGGCCGTCTGTGTGCCCTCGCCGGAGGTCCTCACCACCTTCGGCGTATTTCCACATCCCTGGCAGTCCTGAAGGGGAGAACGGATTCTGTCCCAAGCGCGTCTTCTCTAGCGGAGGAGGGCCTGCCGTAGAATCTCTTTAGATAAGCTCAGGATTAGCACAAATCCCTATTTTCTTCTCAAGGGACCTGTTCGTTTTCTTCTTGTTTTCTTGGAGAGGAGCACTGCCAATTTTCCCTTTTTTTTTTTTTTAAGATGTTATTTATTTATTCATGAGAGACACAGAGAGAGAGGCAGAGACACAGGCAGAGGGAGAAAGAAGCATGCTGTCTGCGGGAAGCCGAATGCGGGACTCGATCCAGGACGCCGGGATCACGACCTGAGAGGAAGGCAGACCCTCAACCACTGGGCCGCCCAGGCGTCCCCAATTTTTGCTTTTGATAAACCCTGTAATTTTCACTGGTTTCTTGGTCTTTTGCCTTTCCGTGTACGTGCCCCATCTCTTACATTGCCTAATCCTTTAAGGAGTCTTGTTCTTTAAAGCTGATTTTGAGCTAACACATGGATCTCCCTGAATGATACGAATGTTAATGAGGAGAGGCCTATGTTAGAAGATTGAAGAAACTGAATTTTGTTTGGGGCTTTGATGAGACTTCCAACAACGTCGGTGCTTCAAGCTGTCAGTTGTAATTGTCTTCTGATAATATATTTTTTCTTTCATTAACTTTCTAGGTCATCACATCATTCACTGCCTACTCACTGTGTTGTCTCTTTCTGTCTAAAGTGTTTCTCTCTCCCTCTCTCTCTCTTTAAATTTTATTTATTTATTCACGAGAGACACAGAGAGAGAGAGAGGCAGAGACACAGGCAGAGGGAGAAGCAGGCTCCACGCAGGGACCTCCATGTGGGACTCAATCCCTGGCCGCCAGGATCACACCCTGGGCTGAAGTCAGGCGCCCAACTGCTGAGCCACCCAGGGATCCCGGAAAGTGTTTCTCTTCTATCGCCATTTTCAGTATTCAGGGGATAGTAGCACACAAATTGGTATGTGTTTGGATTGAAATGTTCGCTAGGCTTTGTGCACAACCACAGTCTTTGTTTTGTAAATCTGGACTAAAGGAGAATTGAGGGATTGCTGGGTGGCTCAGTGGTTGAGCACCTACCTTCCCTGTGGTCCTGGGATCCAGTCCTGCATCAGGCTCCCTGCAGGGAGCCTGCTTCTCCCTCTGCCTGTGTCTTGGCCTCTCTCTGTGTCTCTCATGAATACATAAATAAAATCTTAAAAAAAAAATAAGATTTGATACCTGTGGTATAATTAGAGCATCTTGTTCACATAATGAAAAGTAACATTTATTTTATTTATTTATTTTTTTTTTACGATAGTCACACACAGAGAGAGAGAGAGGCAGAGACACAGGCAGAGGGAGAAGCAGGCTCCATGCACCGGGAGCCTGACGTGGGATTCGATCCCTGGTCTCCAGGATCGCGCCCTGGGCCAAAGGCAGGCGCCAAACCGCTGCGCCACCCAGGGATCCCGAAAGTAACATTTATATGTCGCTGTCTATTAAAATTTTTTTTTAATTTTTATTCATTTATGATAGAGAGGCAGAGACATAGGCAGAGGGAGAAGCAGGCTCCATGCACCGGGAGCCCGACGCGGGACTCGATCCCGGGTCTCCAGGATCGCGCCCTGGGCCAAAGGCAGGCGCTAAACCGCTGTGCCACCCAGGGATCCCTTTTTTTTTTGAGGATTAATATACATACAGCAAAGGCCATAAATCTTAAGATTACTATGCGATGAATTTTTACATATGAATACACTCTTGTCACTGCCACCAAGATCAAGAAATAGAATGGTTCCTATGCCCCAGAAAGTTCCTGTGTTCCTTCTTAGTTAACAACTACACTGATTTCTATCACCATTGACTAATTTTGCCTATTCTTGAACTTCATGTAAATGATAGAGTATTTATTCTTTTTGTTCTGGCTTTTTACTAAATATTATGTCTGAGCAGTTTTTTTTTTTTTTTTAATATTTATTTATTTATGAGAGAGAGAGAGGCAGAGACACAGGCAGAGGGAGAAGCAGGCTCCATGCCAGGAGCCTGACGTGGGACTCGATCCCGGGACTCCAGGATCGCACCCTGGGCCAAAGGCAGGCGTGAAACCTCTGAGCCACCCAGGGATCCCTGTCTGAGCAGTTTTATCTGTTGGCTGTAGCAGCAGTTAATTCTTTTTCATTGTTGTTTAGTGTTCCATCATGTCAGTGTGCCACAATTTGTTTATTCCTTTGATGTACATTTGGGTTTCTAGATGAGTTATTATGAATAAAGCTGCTGTAAATATTCATCATATTTTAAGGCTAGATGGATTGAGGACTTCAGAGCTAAAAGAATTTTACAGCAAATGCCTATCAAGGACCGTTGTGTCAACATTTTACAGCAGCTATGCGATAGATTTTTATACTCTTAAACCTTTGCTTAAGATACAGCATACTGAGGTGGTTAAGAGTGTGAGCTCTGGATCCTGAAGGTCTGGGTTCAAATGGCAGCATTTCTCAGTGATGGCATTGCCTCAGAACTCAACGAATCTTAATGCAGAACTATCTACCTCTGTGCAATTTTTTTGTTTTATTTCACTATTGGCTTACTAACTTAGCTTTTTTCCTTTCTTTATTAAACATTTCATTTTAGAGTAATTTTAGGTTTACAGAAAAGTTGTAACACATGTTCATCCAGTATCTTCTTAACTCGACCACCAGATGCTATATTGGATTCCCCTTCCCTGCCTTTCAGGCTTGAAACTCCAGGGAGTTGAGTTGGGGCAGTTGAAGCCACTCACTGCCTTTATTTCCCACTCACTTTACTGTGCTGTCTGTTGTTCATTGTCTGAAACTTGTTGTATGTGTTTTCCCAGTTTCCTAGTAACTTAAGACAGGCCAGTAAATGTAGTCCCTGTTACTCCATCATGGCCTTAAGTAGAAGTCTGGATCTATTTTTGGTTCATCCTTACCCCTAGGGTGTGGCCTTTCCATCTTCCCTTCGAAAGCATGGGCATTTATTAGGGCCCTGAACCCCAAATTTTGTTCCTCTCATCTGAGTCTATTCAAAACTCTGCCCAAAATCTCAGCCTCTTTGCTGCAGCTCGCAGAATCGTAATCTCTTTGAAGGAAGAAGCAGCCTCAGATGTTGTGCTCACACCTCTGGAATTGTGTTCTCTCTTGGGTTTTGGCTCTGTATTTGCTGACCGCCTTGGCAGGTCACCAGTACTGTCAGGCAGATAAGTTTTCTATACTTTTTCTGCTTTCCTGGGTGCTTACAGGCAGGAGGGTTGGCCTGAAGTAAACTCATCCTCTAGTTCTGGGCTGTCCCTAGTAAGGAAGGCCTTACTGTAATAAATTCAGTCTTATTCCAGGACAGAAAAAAAAAAAAATTTGTATCTGAGAAAGCATAAAAAATAGAAATAAGTTTAAAATATGTCTATTAGCATAAAGAAAGGTTAAAACTACAATTTAGTGTAATTTTTAAAAAATCTGCTATACTCCTGCTTAGCACCTCAACTCCTGATTTTATTACTAATGCTAACATGTGGTGGCTTGAACCTTTCAATTTTAAGTGGTTTTAAAAAAAAAAAAAGCTTATGTAAAAATGTGTTTTCTGCTGTCACCTTGAGGATTCATTGTTGTAGATGATAGTTGTCTTAGTCTGTTTGGGCTGCTCTAACAAAAATAACAAACTGGTAGCTTTTAAACAATGTTCATTTATTTCTCACAGTTCTGGAGTCTAAGAAGTCTAAGATGATGGTGGCTGCATATCCATGGATATGGTGTCTAAGTCTAAGATGATGGTGGCTGCATATCCACTTCTTCACTGAGGCTCTCTTTTTGCTATAATCTCACGTGGTGGAAGGGAAGAGCTACCTGGGGTGTCTTTTATAAGGAGCCTTATGTCAATCATGAGGGTCCTGCCTTCATGACCTAATCACTTTCCAGGCCCCCCCCCCCCATCTCCTAATACCACACCCTGAAAGTTAGGATTTCACCATACTAATTATAGGGAGATACAAACATACCATAGCAGTGATAAAGAGATTACTTAACATCATTTGTATAGAATTATTAAAGATTGGTTGACTGTTTTTAGCATGGTACATTGCCTTTTTTTTTTTACTTTTTATTTATTTTTTATTTTTGAAAGATTATTTATTTATTTGAGAGGGACAGAGAAAGAGCTGGGGCAGAGGGAAAGGGAGAAGCAGACTCCCCACTGAGCAGGGCGCCGCCTGACTCTGGGCTCTATCCAAGGACTCTGAGATCATGACCTGAGCCAAAGACAGACACTTAACAGACTGAGCCTCCCAGATGCCCAATAGTGCCCTCTTGATAAATTGAGGTGCAGGTTCCTGTTTGAACTGCCTCCTCCTAAAACTCCCAAAACCTTCTGA